TGTGAGGCCAACTGAGACAGTTGCATGTCACCCTGAGCACGGTGGGCCATGCTAGTGTCAGAAACAGCAGCATCTTGAAAAGCTGGGTTCCTGTGACATCCTTTGGGGCACCCCTCGGTTTTCCTATTGCTATGAGGGGTTCTCCATGCCTCCTTCACAATGTTTCTGAGACGTAAATAGGAGAAGTCTTCTTAAAGAAAAAAAAAAATCCTAAATGTCAGGGGAAAAAATAAGGGAAAAGGGTATGTGGGCAGAGTGTAGGGAGGTGCTGGAAAACATGAGAAAGGGCTTTGAATCCCGAGCTGCTTGGGTGCTGGGGCCTTTGCTGTGGATTTGAACTTGTGCTTGCAGCTTGTAGGGGGTCTGCTGCAGACTGGAGGACCCGAGAGGACACTGTGCTCATGTGGGCAATGACGCAAGTCTTGGCGTGGGTGTCGAGCAGCACCAGATGAGAAGGGAAAGAGACCAGGAAGTGGCCCCAGTTGGGGAGAGGGCACTGCTTGGGTTCGTGTGCTGATGCTGAGAGTGGGCCAGGATGGAGAGGAAAGAAGGACACAGTGTCACTGAAGCATCTACCATGTGTCTCACCCTGTGGTGAGCATTTCTGCACACTCTGCAGCTCACAGGACATTGTCTCCTCAAAGCACTTACCTTGACTTACCACAATTCCCAATACCAGGGCCCGTGTCTGTCTTGGCCCCTGCAGTATCCCCAGTGTCTGGTACCTATTAGGTGCTCAGCAATGATTTTGAATGATTCAACTTTTTCTTTTCCTCTCCCCTCCCTTCTCTTAAATCTCACTTGGTCCTTTGGGTCACCTCAAATAAACATGTTTAAGGCTTGGGGAGTTCATCTTTTTTTTTTTTTAAGACTAGAGTCTTGCTCTGCCACCCAGGCTGGAGTACAGTGGCGCAACCTTGGCTCACTGCAGCCTCTGCCTCCTGGGTTAGAGCGATTCTCCTGCCTCAGCCTGGGGAGTTTATCTTAAAAACATCAGGAGAGTTGGCCAAATCCAGTCAGCTGTGCAGCTTATGAGAAAGAGCAAAGACTCAGAGAGCATAAGTTACTTGCCCAGGGTCAAGTGGTGGAGCTGAGATCTGACCCAGCTGTGTCTGCCTATCCTGCTTTTCCTGCATAGCTTGCTTCCTCTCTAAGTGAGGGAACTCAGAACACTTGACCCCAGGGCTGGACAAAGCAAGACCAGTATTTCTGTGGTTGTATGATGCTGGGCAAATGACTCCTCCCTTGTCAGTTCCTGTGCCCTGATCTGCAAGGATCAGGCTGAACTGCAAGGCAAGCAGGCAGGGCCAAGCTCTAGGCTGCTCAGGACATCCAGGAGGAGGAAAGAGGGCTGGAGCACTCCTGGACACCCTTGGACATCACTGGTGCGGCCAGAGATCTCTTAGGAGGCAGCTGCATGGGCTGAACTCTATCTGGTTTCTACCTATCCTCTGTAATTGGCACTTATTTCGTAAAAGATGACTAAGCAAACCTATCTCCGGGCAGTTCTGATTCTCAAATGTCTAACCAAGAAATGTGTTCATATGAATAACTGGTTCAGTGTTTATTCTGAGAGCATCTCTTATACATCAGTCCATCCTATGCCATCTGTCCCAGCTTGTTCAGTTACACAACTATTTAATTGAGTTATGACTTGGTCCTAGCCTTTGTACTAGAGCCTGGAGAAGCCTGTGTCCTTGGCAGTCACATTGGAGTGGACGCGATACCGATTACATTTCTGTGTGATAAGAGCCTCCAGCCAGCTCCTTCCGTGTGCTGGAGGAGCCTGGAGAGGAAAAGCATGACTAAGTCTTGCTGCTCTCTTTTTTGCCTGTGCTGGTCTGACTGTGGCCACAGTGAGGTGGGGGAGGGGAAGCCAGTGGGGGGGGGAACAGCCTGTTTCCCTTCTTGACGGGGGCTGGGCAGCAACCCCAGGAGGAAGGGAAGAGCAAAGAATTTCCGAGGTGGTCACATTTTCCCCTCTCTGCTTCCTACACCTACAGGAACCGCAGTTACACTCAACTGACCGACCACCCAGTTGTATCTTCTCTTTCTCCTGACATCCCATGGTAAAGGAATGAAAAAGAATTCATCTCTCGTAGAAATACCATTCAACCCAGCACTCCCACTACTGGGTATATACCCAAAGGAATATAAACCATTCTTTTATAAAGATACAGACACACACATGTTCACTGCAGTACACTTCACAATAGCAAAGACACGGAATCAACCCAAATGCCCATCAATGATAGTCTGGATAAAGAAAATGCGGTACAGGTATGCCATGGAATACTATGTAACCATTATAAGGAATGAGATCTTGTCCTTTGCAGGAACATGGATGGAGCTCAAAGGCATTTCCCTCAGCAAATTAATGTAGGAACAGAAGACCAACCCCGCATGTTCTCACTTATAAGTGGGAGCAGAACAATGAGAACACATGAACACGTGGTGGGGAACAACACACAGTGGGGCATGTCGGGGGCACTGAGGGGCAGGGAGAGCACTGGGAGCAACAGCTAAGGGATTAAGGAGCTTAGTACCTAGATGATGGGTTGATCTGCGCAGTAAACCACCACGGCACACGTTTACCTATGTAACAAACCTGCACATCCAGCACATGCATCCCGGAACTTAAAAGTTGAAGGAAAAAGATGGATACGTAGCGCACAGTGGGATGAATCGCACATAGTATTTATCCATCACTAAGGACAAAGAGAATAGGATATAGACAACAGTAGTTCGTGGTTTCAACCACTTTTAGGTGGCAGGAAGCAGTTGAAGGGAGAAATGGTACTTGGTTGGGCTGAGGGGAGGAAGTTAGCTATGGAGTGTGCAAAAAGTGTGTTCCCAGAGGCACCTGCACATGAAGGTCAAAAGACCAGGCCTCAAGTCCCATCGTCCCTGAGGTCAACAGGACCTTGGACAAGTCACTTTCCTCTCATTTTTCCATCACAATATGAAGTGATTATACTAGATATGTGATTCTCACCTTCTGGTGTCTGAGAAAATTACCTAGAATTTTTTTCTTTCCAACATGTACGAGTACATGTGTTTTAATTCTGATTCTGAAATGGAACTAAGATATTCTGATTTTTGCAAGACCTTAAGAGCCACTGTTTCAGATAGCCTGGAAGGGCCCTTTCAACTTGGACAGGCCAGATTCCCATGTAGGTGTTGGTTTGGGGGGCGGCCTGAAGGAAAGTGTTGCAGGAATATAAGACTTTTTATATGGCGTGAGGGTTCTCACAAGAGGCTGAGATCCTATCTGCTGGGTATGGCAGAAGTGCCTTTGTGGAGACAATGGCATTTGCAATGGGTAGGATCTTCACAGAAGGAGATAGAGAGGTGGGCTCTGCAGGGGGAGGTTACAGCAGGAGCAAAATCCTTAGAGACAGTACAGCAAGTGGCAGTTACTTGCAGTCAGGAATTGCAATTACCTGAATGTCTTGGCATCCTCTGAAGCATGACATGAAGAACCACAAATGTCCAGATGAGAAGCTCGGTGCTCCATCCAGTTGATGGTGCAGAGTCACTGCATGTTTTTGTGCTAGAGAGTGCGCGATCAGAGTACATCAGTCTAGCCATGTGATACACATGGGCCTCATGATTTCAATGCCTAGCGTTGGCTCAGCTACTTTTCTTGAGCACCTACTATGTGCTCTTTATTACAAGCGCTACATACGTCTTCATGACCCAGACTTCTCTGGAGCTGTACAGCCACATCTCTCTGAAGCCACTCTCTCACTCCTGTCACTTTCTTTGCACCCTACACTTCAGCTTTTCCTGATGACTTGGAATGAAGTGTGCTCCCCTGATGCCTTGTCATCCTCACACAAGACCCCGCCTCTACTTAGCATTCCCCTCTCCACATCAGGGCACAGAAGGCGTTGCTTAAAGAACATCCTCCCGACTGGGGTGGTGGTTTACACCTGTAATCCCAGCACTTTGGGAGGCCGAGGCAGAAGGATCACTTGAACCTAGGAGTCCAAGACCAGCCTGGGCAACACAGTGAGACTCCATCTCTATGAAAATAAAAAATAATTATCTGGGTGAGGTAGTGCACACCCAGATACCTACTTGTGAGGCTAAGGCGGGAGAGTTGCTTGAGCCCAGGAGTCTGAGGCTGCAGTGAGTTTGCACCACTACGCTCCAGCCTGGGCGACAGAGTGAAACTCTAGAGAAAAAAAAAAAAGGCAAAATTCCCTGACTGAGGCGGGAGGGTCGCTTGAATCCAGGAGTTTGAGGCTGCAGTATGTTTGTGCCACTGTGCTCCAGCCTGGGCAACTGAGCGAGACTCTAGAAAACAAACAACAAGGGAAAATTCCATGGCAGGACCTCAGATACTAGTAAGTAGCTCTGGGTGGTTTTTGCTTGTTTATTTGTGAGTTGAAGAGAAGTGGCCGAGGTCAGGCAGTGCATCTCATTGGTAACTGCCTTCCCTGGGGCTACCCAAGGACCTCGAACAGAATAAGCTACTGAAAAGTGTTGAGACTTGAAGAAAAATAGAAATAGCAACTATCTAGGGCACTTGACATAGAGAATCTTTTTTAATTCTTATCGCACGCCCTTGAGACATGTATTGCTATTTGCATTTTGTGTGGATATGCATTTGGGTAAGTTTATGTAATCCCTCCCTCGTCTGCAGAACTGGGATTCAAATGCAGGTATATCTCTGCCCAGGTCCAGACTCTTCTGCCCTGTGACAGCAGCTGCATGCCTGGATGGAAGGACGTAGGGTTGGACAAGCCACACATGGGTCACTTCCTTTCACTTACTTTTCTTAGCTTCCCACTCAACCAGGGCAGTTCCCACGCACTTTTTCAAGATTCTTATCGGCTCCCACACTTGGGGAAATTCCCAATGTCACCTATCAATCCATCACCACCACAAATACCACCCAGGAGAGGCAGGGAAAGGAGTTTACCACATGGTCACTGGGTGTGAGCAACTGTTCCCTGTCCCTGTGGCTTCTCACTTGTGCCTCCCACCATGGCCTGGAAAACTCCACCTGGTCTCAAAATAAAAGCCCTCGGCATTGCAGAATGGCCCAGTGGTGATCTTGTAGCTTCACCAGACTCATCAAGGCTGCTCCAGGAAGGCCCGAGCCAGACCACTAGACATGCAGATCATCACCATGGCCCTGGTATGCTTGCTGCTAGCTGGGATGTGGCCACAAGATGTGGACAGCAAGAGCAGTGAGTATGGCAGGCATCACTTTGTTTCTCTCTGGGGATAGTAGAAGTATGGTCAGCCACTCTGGGGTTGGAGCAGGTCTCACCAACTCTTATCTCCCTTCTTCCTATCTAAAGAGAAGGAATGGTGAACTTGGGTGGGCTGGGGGTGAGGGCCAGCGGGAGAACCATGAGTTGGGGCAAACACAGAGAAATGAACTTCCAGCTTCAGTACAAGGCAGCTCTGCTTCATCCAGGCCCAAGGGAGGGAACCTGTGAGGTTACCTAGGTAAAGCTGGGAGCCCCAAAGTCTAGGGCAGGGCCTGAATGTAGCTTCCACAGTGTGACAGACACTAAGCAGACTCTGAATGCAGGACCAGGGCTCTATCAGTCAGCTGCACTTGGGGAAGTCACTTTAGCTCTCAAACTCTACTTTCTCTATCAGTGAAATGGAGGTGATGATGTCCACTCTCCAAGGCTGTTTGGAGAATACTAACCTAGTAACAGTCATGAAAGCGGTTGCGAACAGAAAAACTAGGAGGAAGAAGCTGGGATTGGAATGCAAGTCTCTTAGGGGATGAGGTGTAGGAGGAGAATGCACAAATGGACAGAGTGGGGGTTGGGGGCTCAGAAAGAGCGGAGGACCAGGGCAGGAGGGGATTTAATAGGCTGAGTAGGGAGCTAGCTAGTTCCTGGGAGCTCTTCCCTTGTCATCTCATCAGTTTGGACTCCTTGGACAATTCCTAATCTTCCCCAGGTCAGGTCTGCGAACTGTGGATCACAGTGTCCTGCGTCAGACTAGCCAGGCCCCCAGGGTGTAGGGCCCAGAGCCCTTGGACATGAATATTGGGGCAGAACCATGCACGTGTGGTGAAATACCAAAACTGGATGAGCTTTTAGAAACCAGGCTCCAAAAAATCTCATTTTACACATCAGAAGTCTGGAGCTGGGGTGGCAGTACACTTTCATCAAGGATACTCAGTTGGTGTGTGGGGAGCTCAGATCTGAACCCCAATCTTCTGACTCTCACCTAGACCCAGAACGAGGTAGCCGATGACACAGAACCATGCCGGCACCCTCTAGATGTGGTCTCCAAGCCAGGGCTTGTCCTGGGGGGCATTTTTTTGTTTGTTTGCTTTTTAAAATTTGTGCTACAGGTGGGAGGTTGAAAAATGGATGCAAACCACCATTTGTGTTTCGCTTCTAGTGCATGTGTCCCTCTCCAGCTGTTGCTTCTCATTTATGAAGAAAAAGACTTCCCTGGGGGCAATCCAGTGTTACAGAAACACCAGCTCCAGCTGCCCCCAGGATAGTTTCATGTAAGTGATCACCTGTTCAATCTCTCCCTAGAGAACAGAACCCTGCCAGCCTGGAATTAGAATAGTAGACACTAGATGGCAGTATTTCACCAGAATAAGGTTTCTAAACCCAGCGCCGCCAACACCTGGGTGCAAGTTGCGCTTGGTCGCTAGGGGGAGCGCTGAGCTCCCTAGCAGGTGTTGAGAGGGATGCATCTGTGCTCCTGCAGTGACTTGTGTTTCCTGAAACTCCAAGGTGCCAAGTATTATATCCCAGCATTATAGGCTCAGAGGAAGGAACTGTTTAACAAAAGGGACTATTGTGCAGTGGAAAGAGCAAGGGAACCAGGATTAATTCCTGCCTCTGGATTTGGAACCTATAGTCTTGGGTAACCTTGGACAGGTAACTCCTTTGTACCTAATTATCTGTGTATCCTTCTGTATTCCTTATCTGTGAAGGGGCATAAACATGATGCCGGCATCACAGGGTCTTTATAAACTTAACTGGGGTAGCTTTCACAAACCAGTCAGCATTTTAAGGCACTTTCATGTGTGTTATCTCTGCCAATCCTCTTGGGGCACATATTTTTGTTATCATGAAAAGTGAAGTTCAGGAAGATAGAGATATTTGTCTAAGATCACCCAGATAGTAAGAGACAAAGTTGATATATAGATTGGACGATAGTCTGGTTTAGGAAATAAGAAGATCAAAAGAGAAACACACATACACACACACACTCACACGAGTCCAATGCAACAAGTAAGGTCCCAGATGGACATAGAAACATTAACGCTGGAGGAGAGAGCTATTCTTGGATGGGAATTTTTCATCCCAGCTAATCATCAGAATGTTTTCAGGGTCTTCAGCCCCACCCTGATACAACAAATTGAAACCAGCAGAGGGGTCCAGGAAGATCAATTCATAAGCTCCTGGTGTGTTGGCTCTTTCCTGGCATGCAAGCAACAGATCTTGGGCAGCAACTTCATTTACAGAGGGGAGCTCAAGGCCCAGCTAGAGCAGCCTAGGGCACCTGGCAGCAGGAAGAGATGGGGCTTGGGCGGTGCCCACACAGTGGTGGCGTGGGTGACTCAGCCCTCTCTCTTGTTCTCTGTTCACAGATTCAAGCTGAAGGGAGGCAAGGAAGCCTGTGCCTTGAAGACTGACAAATGGGCTCAGAAGTACGTAGAAAAGCTGAGCTACTGCCCGCCAAAAAGAAAATGAGCAGATTTCTTTCCGTCATGGGCTCTGGAAATCACACGGCTTCACTTTTCCCTGAAGCCCCCAGCCCTGCATTGTTCCTTCTGCCCCACGTTTGCTGGGACATGGAGGATCAGCTTGGTCTTTATAAGCTATGTTGTCACAATTTATACATTTAAATTATAGAATCATCAACCCCCACCCCTCTGTGTCTCTTGGATTTCAGAGTGAAAACTTGATGGGCATTGGGAGGTGGTGGCCAGCGGCTGAAGGATGGGGAAGGAAGAGGGAGGCATGTTGCACCTGGTGCCAGGGGAACTGAACTAAATTAGTGACTCTCTACCTCTCAGTAGCTGCCTTTGTCCTGGGGAGTAAGCTTTGACTGGTGTGGTGGTGCAGATTTTCTGCCTCCAAGTTTGGCTGTCAAGAGGCGTACAGTGGAAGAGAAAGCTGGGGTTCACAGCTGGGTCACATTTGGGTGCAGGACTCTCCTTCTTCCTGCCCTGCCCAGAGGGCTCGGGGGGTGATATTATAACTAAATCACAGCTGCCCTATCTGAAGGGGATCATGTGAGATTTTCTGCCTGTGAGGTGGCTGAGGGCTAAAGAGAGATGCAGCAAGTTGGGGTGGGGGGTGGCGGATCTGGTGATCGAACCCAGGGCTGCTGCCTCCCAGGACAACTCCTCCTGGCGTCCTAAATTGCCAACTGTACTGCCTGATGCAGTGTGGTACAAGATCCAGGGGACAGGCCCTGCTGTTGTCAGCAGTGCCGATCTCTCCTTGGGTGTCCAGCCATGGGTGGGTTCCGGGTCTGATCGAGATGCCCACCCAGCTTATCTGGAGGAGTGAGGCTGTCTTGGGAAGAGCAGGAGAACCCTTGGTGGAAGAGGAGGTTCTGGTGCTTTAAAAGGGACAGTCACAACCTCCAATTTGTACGAAGTGTGATTCAAGGAGAATAGCCAGGGAAGGAAGTATTTCTAGGTTTTGGGGTTGGCATGCCTTTAAAGGTCACTTTTAGAGGGCGAAGGTCTCATGCTGTGTTTCCCTCTTTCCCCATTCAACATGTCACACACCTGGCCCAGTCTTCTTAATCTGCCTCCTCCCCTCTACCCCCATAACTGCCCTTCGTCTCCCGCTATTTCCTCTTGCTTAGACAATTGCAGTAGGCTGTCTTCAGCCTTCCCTTCCCAACTCCAACTCATTCACAGCCACTGGCTACTCTTCCTGGCACCCATCCTTCTCTCTGGATGACTCAAAAACCTTCATACGTTCCTCTTGCCTTCAGAACGAATCTAAACCCCACACTCTGATATTCCAATTCCTCAAGAGCCTGTCCTCAACTTTCCTTTCTACATGTCTCCAACTTTTACACCGTGGAACTCTGAATCTGACCATTTTGGGGATATTCCCCCCAAGGCCCTCCCCCCACGTTGCCATCTTGCACCTCCCCTGGAAGAATCTTTGCTATGACCACACTTCCTCATCCTCTAAGGTCTGTTCTGCCCAAGTCCCCTCTTCCCTGCCGATCCTGGGGCTCACTAGGACTCAGTCATCTAGTTTCCCCCTGGGAGTCAGGGGCACGCAAAGTCAGAATCACTTGCTGCTTGCACTGGGGAGGCATGGATTGGAGCAGGAGACTAGCGTGGGAGGAAGGGGTTTACTTTGGGTAGGCGTGTGGTTTTAAAGGAAGAAATGAACTGAATATGAGACTGAGGAGCTGCGAGCCAGGGGTGTCCATGTTGGGGACTGGAGCCCTTGTTCCAGAACAGCCTGGGCTGGTGAGGCAGGCCCTCCTTGAAACTCAGATGAGCCAGGCTAGCCCCATGGCCAGGGTCTCTACACTCGCCTTCCACTAGCATGCTCCACCATCCACCCACACCTCTGAGCGCCCTTGCTGATTGGAAGTTAGCCCTGAAGAAAACATCACTATGTAAGAGACTTTAAATAAAGTGTATTTTCTGCAGAATGTCAGCAGGCCTATTATGGCATTCCTCTTTCCACAGTAACATCTTTAGCAACACCTGACATTCACGAAGAGTTCTCCTCCCTGCCTTGCAGCATCCCTTCATGTCCGTGACTCCCACGGGCACACTCTCAACCCCTGCCAGCAGAAGACAAACCCACGGCCAGCGGCTCACAGTGGAAGGCACGGCGGCCCACAGACAGGAACCAACTTGCTCAAGGCCTTGCTTTAAAAAAGATCACCCATACTCAAACTCCAAACCAGCAACAATTCAAATAACAGTCAATATTACTTAACACAGAGTACATTTTGCATCACAAAACAGAACGCATTCTATTTGCAAATGACGGTAGAAATACTCCAAAGTATAGATGAGGAGGCCAGAGGAGAATGGAAAAGTCACTTTGCATACCCTGGCTTGATTTCAGTGTGGGCAGCAGAGTTCAAGTCTTCGGGGTGTGAGCTTTCTGGCCCAGGCATTTCATATAATTCTGAACTCATTTCTCCTTTGGGTCGGCACAGATCTCCTTGCCCAGTTTGGTTCTGAAGTTGTGGAGGAAGGAAAGCTGGCACTGTTAGGATGGAACTCTTTGAGGGTTTACCCAGAAGATGACACACTGAGCTGTAAACCTGCCTGGCCCACCTGCTACAGGTGAAGGGGCATCCTTCTGGGACAGGAAGTAGGAGGTGTGTGGACAGGAGCGTTCTCTGGAGGTAGCTGCTGCTCTTGCTGGCCCTGGGAAACTGATCCTGGCAACTGCTAAAGGCTGTGGGCTGGTGCCCATCCAGTGAGCAGGGCATGGGAAGTTATAGACCCTCTTTCGGCCTGTTGAGCAGTCAAAATAGGAGGATTTGCATCATATGTTCTGGTTAGATCTCATCCTGAGTCAGATACCGAATCAGTCTTATGTCTGTCTCCTGGGGCAGAGGGTGGAGAGGAGCCAGGTGAGCAGGAGTTTTCTACCCACATGACAGCCTTCTGGAGACACTGCCTGTTGGTGATCCGATAGTTCTTCAGCCTCTGCAAGGAGATCTTCTTACTGCTAAATGTGAAGCAGCAGATGGATGGGACACTGAGTTCACTTAGAAATAAAGTTACAAAGGAAAAGCCTTTGAGGATGTGTTAGGCTTTTCTCAGCTGGAATGCAGCAAGGTGAATCTGTATGGGTTGCAAAGCAAAGAGGAAGAAGTAGATCTTACTCACCCCCAGGCCCAGCACTCGCACCCTAAACCCTGAGGTGAGGTGAGACCTGTGACATGTGCCTCAGGGTCTCGAACTCTCAGCTGCATGGTGGGGACGTGTCACTGCCATCTAGGGGAGGCCATGGGCAAGGCCAGTGGGAAAGGTCCTGTGTGTGGTCCCAGATCTGCAGAGTTTGGGATGATCAGATGAGGTCAAAGAAAAGGCCCTAAATTTGGAGTCAGATGCTTAGGTTTCATTCTTGCTCTGGGATAACCTGGAGGTGTCTGGGTAGGGTCTCTTCTGTCCCCAACCTGGGCTTCAGCTTTCTGTCTTTAAAATTAGATGTTAAAGTAAACCTCTGAGGAACCTTACCGCTCTGGTGGGCTTAGAAGTAGGACAATGGCTGGGTGCGGTGGCTCACGCCTGTAATGCCAGCACTTTGGGAGGCCAAAGCAGTCAGATCACTTGAGGTCAGGAGTTTAAGACCAGCCTGGCCCACCAGGCTGGTGAAACCCTGTCTCTACAAAAATACAAAACTTAGCTAGGTGTGGTGGCAGGTGCCCGTATTCCCAGCTACTCAGAAGGCTGAGGCAAGAGAATTGCTTAAACCTGGGAGGTGAAGATTTCAGTAAGCTGAGATCATACCCCTGCACTCCAACCTGGGCCACAGAGTAAGACTTTGTCTTAAAAAAAGTGGGGGCACCTGGGCTTAGGGCTTTCTAGAAGAGAGAAACAGAGAAAAAGGAGGGGAGAGATGAAGGGAAGAGGGGCCTTAACTGGCTGAACAAGCCCCTGGGGGCTGAAGGCTGCTGTTATGAGCAGCAGGCACAGAAGTGCTCCAGAGACTTTCATGTTGGAGGGCAAGAGTTGGAGATTTCACAATGTTTCTTGGTCTCTCTGCTCCTCTGGCTGTTCTGCCTGCCTTTTACAGGGAGTGAAGAGGGTTGGAGCTCTCAGAGGACCTTGGCCTGAGCAGGGTAATGACCAAGTTATGATGAAGGGGGGTCCTGAATATGCTGAACTGGAGGTGCAGACCAAAGACTTTTCTAAGAAATTCAAGAGGGAAGCTGAGGGCTGAAGCAGCACAGCATGGCTTCCTTCTGGCTGTCCAGGCCACAAGGAGCCAGAGAGGAATGTGCCCCAGCCACTCACCATGGGAAGCCATCCAAGCAGCTGTTCTCTGCTTACTTTCTCCAACAGGAAAAAGAAAAACAATGAAAATTAATTCCTGTGGGACATGCAGGGCTGTTACATAGGTAAATATGTGCCATGGTGGTTTGATGAACCTATCAACCCATCACCTAGATATTAAGCTCCACCTACACTAAAAAAACTAAAGGAAAAGGGTACATATAACCAGTTGCAGAGCCTACATACACCAAAAAGAAAATAATAAGAACTTTATGCCAAAAATTTAATTTAGAGGAAATGGATGACTTTCCCAAAAATCTAACTTACCAGGGTCCACAAAGAAATAAAAAATAGAAAGTCATTCTAAAGCTATTAAAGAATTGAAATCAGTAATTGAAAATCTTCCCACAAAACATTCTCTGGGCTCAAAGGGCTTAAACAACAAATTCCTCCAAGCATTCAGGGAACTGATCATTTCAATCTTGTGCAATCTGTTCAAGAGAATATCAGAAGACTGTACACCACTCAATTTATTTTGTGTCCTACCTTTGATACAAAAATGTGTCAAGACCCACAGGAGAAAAGGATATTACAAGCTGTCCCTTCAGACACACATTCCATTCTTTTCCATTCTATTCTCTGCCCTGGGAACCCAATCTTGGTGGGTTATATCAGTGAGGTTGCTGGCCTTCTAGCTTCTGGTTGAGTTTAGTCACAACGGAGCCCCTGAGGACAACAGAATTGGGTGAAGTTGAGTTTCTTCTTCCTCTGTTGTCTCCCTGTGTTCCTCAACATGGATACATCCCTCAACAAATGGTTTTAACTTCTTTCAAGGTAGTCTTACCAAGACTCTCCTATCCAGGTTTGGTGAGGTAAACCCTGCTCTTTCTTTTTAGATTTAGGAGTACATTCTTTTTTAAAAATTTTATTTTAAGTTCCAGGATATATGTGCAGGACGTGCAGGTCTGTTACATAGGTAAACATGTGCCATGGTGGTTTGCTGCACCTATGAACTCATCACCTAGGTATTAAGCTCCACCTACATTAGCTATTTATCTTGATGCTCTCCCTTCCCCTCACCACCTGACAGGCCTCAGTGGAATAGCCAAGACAATCCTAAACAAAAAGAACACAACTGGAGGCATCACACTACCTGACTTCAAACTATACTATAAGACTACAGTAACCAAAACAGCATGGTATTAGTATAAAAAGACACATAGACCAATGGAACAGAATAGAGATCTCAGAAATAAGGCCACATATCTATAACCATCTGATCTTTGATAAACCTGACAAAAATAAGCAATGGGGAAAGGATTCCCTGTTTAATAAACTGTGCTGGGAAAACTGGTTAGCTATATGCAGAACATTGAAACTGGACCCCTTCCTTACACCTCATATAAAAATGAACTCAAGATGGATTAAAGACTTAAATGCAAAATCCAAAACTATAAAAAACTAGAAGAAATTCTAGGCAATATCATTCAGGACACAGGCACAGGCAAAGATTTCTTGATGAAAACGTCAAAAGCAATTGCAACAAAAGCCAAAATTGACCAGTGGGATCTAATTAATAAGCCTCTGCACAGCAAAATAAACTATCATCAGAGTGAACAGACATCCTACAGAATGAGACAAAATTTTTGTAGTGTAACCATGTTCTTAATAGCCTCAGAGTAACAAACACCCCTGCGGTCTCTCTTCACCAACTTACATCTTTGTAAATAGCTTCTTTATTAAACCTTTCTCCAAGTCTTCCATTTAAAGTGTTATCTATTTCTTGTTGGGACACTTACTTATTGACATAGAATTGGACCCATAAAACAGACCTTACAAATAGGATTCTGGGATTGGGTTGCTCATATATTTTGGGTGCATCATGGAAAGTAACACAGTAATAGAATCTGTCCACATCATGATCGCTTTAATTACCACCAGCAGCAGACTGCTTTCACAAGCCCTCCAAGTGATCCTGATATACACAAAAGTTTGAGAACTATGGGATTATAGCATACCCCACTGACATCACTGATCTATAAAGAATAGCCACCGTGGAGCTCTCAAGCATGCTGCCCTCCTCCCACATCTCATCAAAGCATTTCTTAATACCTCGATTAAAGGGCATATGCCCCCTGGGGATCCCTGGGAGTGCAGTCAGGGATGGCTCAGCAGCTTGCACATAAATAGAATAGATCCATTCCAACAGATCCACTTCCTGAGTCTCTGGACTCCTTCCTAGCATTCCAGGGAATTTCTGGCATTTCAACTTCATTAACTGCAGGCTTATTTTTTAATTTTTAATTTTTGTGAGTACATAGTAGGTGTCCATATTTATGGGTTACATGAGATATTCTGTTGTAGGTATGCAATGTGTAATAACTACATCAGGGTAAATGGGATATCCATTGCCTCAAGGATTTATTGTCAGGTAGTTTATTTGAAGGTTTTCTTATTGTTTTCTTGTTTATAGCTCTAGGAACTTAGAGCTATAGATTAACCTCTTAGCACTGCTTTTGCTGTAACCCGTATGTTTTAGTATACTGTGTATCCATCATCATTCGCTTCAAGAAATTTTTCATTTTCCTTCTTAATCCCTTCATTGACCAACTGGTTGTTCAGGAGCATATTGTTTACATTCCCGTGTTTGTATAGTTCCCCAAATCACTCTTGTTATTAACTTCTGGTTTTATCCCATTGTGTTCAAATATACTTAATACTATTTCAATTTTTAAAATGTTTTGAAACTTGTTTTATGTCCTAACATCTAATGTATCCTTCAGAGTGATCTATGTGCTGAGGAGAAGAATGTGTATTCTGCAGCTGTTGGATTAAATGTTTTGTAAATATCTGTTAGATTCATTTGGTCTATAGTGAAGATTAAGTCTGACGTTATTGTGTTGATTTTCTGTCTGAACGATCTGTTTCGATGGCTGAAAGTGGGTGTTAAACTCTCCAGCTGTTATCCTACCGGAGTCTGTCTCTCTCTTTAGCTCCAACAATATTTGCTTTATACATATGGGCACTTCAATGTTGGCTGCCTATACATTTTTAATTGTTATATCCTCTTGGTAAATTGATGCTTTTATCACTATATAATAACTCCCTTCGTCTCTTTTTTATGGTTTTTGTCTATTTTGTCTGGTATTAGTAGAGCTACTCTTGCTCTTTTTTGGTTTCCATTAGCTTGGAGTATCTTTTCACATCCCTTTTGTTTTCAGTCTTTGGGTGCCTTTATAGGTGAAGTGTGTTTCCTGTAGGCTAGGCAACAGATCGTTTGGCCTTGCTCTTCCATCCATTTAGCCACACTCTCCCTCTTTTGATTAGAGAGTTTAGTCTATTTACATTTAATGTTACTATTAAGAAGTAAGGACTAACTCCTGCCATTGTGTTATTTGTTTTCTGATTGTTTTGTGGTCTTCTCTTCCTTGTTTTCTTCCTTCCTATCTTCCTTTTGGTGAAGATTATCTTCTCTAGTGGTATAATTTAATTTCTTGCTTTTTATTTTTTGTGTATCTGTTGTGTGCTTTTAGATTTGAGGTTGCCATAAGGGTTGCAGACAATGTCTTATAACTCATTATTTAAAAACGGATTATAATTTAATACTGATTCCATAAACAGGCAATGAGAAAACTGATAAAACCTCTACACTTTAACTTCATCTCCCCACTTTTTAACTTGCTGTTGTTTCTGTTTATATTTTACTGTACTATCTATGTCTTCAAAAGTTGTTATAGTTATTTGGATCAGTTCATCTTTTTGTCTTTCTACTTAACATATGCATAGGTTATATACCACAATTATTACTGTTATTCTGTGTTTTTCTAAGACCTTGGTGGTCTTGGATAAAATCCAAAAGAATTCTCTGGACTACCAGGCAGAGACGCTTGTTTTTTTTTAAATTACTTTCTCCTAAACAAACAGAGTATCTCTCTCTGTGCTGAGATCCCTGGAGCTGGAAAAGAAGTTACACAACTACCCCTGTGACCACCACCACTGGGACTGAACTGTTAAACCTAAAACCAGTAGAGTACTTGGTCTTTCTCAGGGCCAACTGTACCCACTAGCTGACTACTGGCTGTGTTCATTCAAGGCCCTAGGGCTCTACAATTAACACGTGGTGAAGTCAGCCAGGCCTACATCCTTCCCTTAAGGGCAGCAAATTCTACCAGGCCTTAGACAGGTCCAGAGATGCTGTTCGGGAGCCAGGCTCTGGAGTCGGAAACCATAGTAATATACCTGGTGCTCTGTTCCACTGTGGCTGAGCTGGCACCCAAGCCACAAAATGAAGTTCTTTCCACTCTTTTATTTCCTTTCCCCAGGCAGAGGAGTGTCTCCTCATGTTCCCCACCACCACAGGCCCATAAGGAATACTGCCAGGATACTACCAGTGTTCGCTTACGGCCGAAGGGCTCTTCGGTCAGCTTGTGGTGAATGCTGCCAGGTCTGGGACTCACCCTTTAGGTTAGTGGGCTCCCCTCTGGTCCAAGGTAGGTCCAGAGATGCTGTACAAGAGCCAAGGCCTGGAACTAGGGACCCCAATATCCACTTGCTGCTCTTTTCTACTGTGGTTGAGCTGCTAAGCTAAAGACAAAGTCCTCTTTACTCTTTCCTCTGTTTTTCTCAAGCAAGGGGGCCTCTCCTTGTTGCTATCATATCTGGGAATGTGCTGGGTCACACAGGAAGCCAGGACATCTCAGAGTCTCACCCAAGGCCTATACTACCTGACTACGGCAGCTGGTTATTCAGCACCCCAGGGCTCTTTTGTCAACAGATGATGAATCCTGCCAGGACTGGGTCCTTCCCTTCAAGGTAGTGGATTCTCTTCTGCCCCAGGGTATATCTGGAAATATCCAGGAGCTAGGCCTTGGAAGAGGGGCCTCACAACTCTTCCTGATGCCATACTGTGGCTTCCTACTGTGGCTGAGCTATTTAGCATCCAACTTGTA